AACTTACAAACCTTTGATAAAACTTATGTTCTTCCATTATACAGTTACAAAAAGATGGCCTCTTCCTATAAAAACAATAAAAGGTAACGTTCAGTAGTTTCATATAAGTATTACAAATGATATCAAATACCTTTGAGATCAAATTGACTATCATCATAACTGGACTAAGTATACAAATAATGCGTTGAATGTAAAAATAATCTATTTTGCACTCATAGAATCATTATTACGTTATAGGATCCTTTCTTGGAAAGGTGTTTTAACTGCTTATGCACTGCTTCAAAAAATATTACTAAAAATGTTATGTAATAAAATGATCAGAAAGTCTCTTCGATATTAGGAAGTTTTATATGTACTCCAACAAAAACATCTAAGAAAGAAATATCACAATGTAAATTAATATAGACATTGTCATAATAAAGACTGAAAAAGTCAATACCTCTGTTTTAGTACATTATTGCTTTTATTTTTTTAAATGAAATCCTTCTACAAACTATCCCAAAAATTATTTTCATATATTTATCCCACCCAACATGCAATTTTAAAGTCAAATTTATTCACATAATAGGTTAATAAAAAAAAAATGCAAACTTCTAGCAAGAAAATAGCAATTCGATAAAACGAGAGAAATGGGTAACTTTAGATAATATGCAAATGAGAATTTATTATTTTCTTTTTTACACCCCTTTATGACAGTACGTCACTGGTTGACCGGAAACACTTGTCGCTATATTCGTCTAGTTCACTGTCAAAATTACATACTATCGCGATTCCAAGGTCGTTTAGGATTCCTCCTTCCTGACTATATATATTCTAAGAGATCAACCCACTCATTTTCATCCTAACCTAACCTTATTAATTATACCTATTTATCATAATATTTTAGGAATTTGGGTATAATTCACCTTATACGTTTGGACATATTGCGTAACCAATAAAATGTACTCATTTGGTCTCCAATAAACTGGAATAATTATTTGAAATTTCTAGTGATGCCTAAATAATGTAGAATAATGCCTTTAAGATACAGATCATGATGACTAGATACGGTATAATCGACAACTATATAATCTTGGCGTTTAGAAAGACATTTGAAGAATATTTCTGATTTGTTTCACATCAGTAATTACTTCTTATTAATGATTACTCGTCGCGAGTCTCAAAAGGCGTTTGGTAAACTAAATGAATTCAGATCAGGGAATCGAGGAGGCCAAGAAATTTATCATCATCTGATACATCGTTAACAAATGGTCTCTTCCAACAAAAATCAGAAACGAGTCACTGACACCAAGATTCTGCGCAGTAGATAATTTGGCAGTCCTAATAATCTACTGCGCAGAATCCTGATGTCAGTGACTGGTTTCTGAGCGTTGTTGAAACAGACCTAAAAATAATATATTAATATTAATTATTGGACAAATCGTCTATTCAAAAAAAAAATTATCTTATTCCCTTTCTTACGTTTTTAATAAAATGTAACTGCTGTTTCGTCTGATATTCCAGCGAGGTTTATCCTCACTATCCGCAAATGCAAACTATGGCAATTAATTGTTCCATCACTATATCCATGTCTATTTTCTGCGTGTTTGTTTTTAAAAAAAAAACAGTTTGCGAATTTAGAATGGCGAGTTTTTATTTAATATTCTCAGCTGAAAAAATTTATACAATATACATTTTTTGTGGATTCGTCTCTCTCAATAAAATGCAATTTACACGAAATGTGTGTTCGAGCTATCGAATGAGAATATTTTATTTTTTAAAAATCGTTGGGATTGTTTTGAACTCACCGCTTAAAATTTCACGTTTTGTGAATTCAACCGGAAAACATTGCCGTTTGGTCGAGTCAGGCAAGAGTTGGATTCCTTTATGTGTTTTGACTTTGGAAATATTAGAACCAATAGAACCATACCATTAAACGTCAAACAAGAAAAAAAAAATACGTGTGGCATTCGGGGGCTGCCGCGGTAAAGCTATTGCATAGCATTTTTTATCAACTTATGCAATTATAATTATTTATTTTATTTATGCAGTATTTTTTTCTTTGATATTAATTCAACTTTTTTCTTTGATATTAATTCAAGTTACACTCTTTGAGCGTGGTGACCGATAAGAAAACAATTTTTTTTCTTTTATTGAATAAATCAGAAGTTAATATTGTTTAAAATATTTTTATTATCTTACAATACATGTAGGTTATTCAGGAATTTTTATCATTGAAACTATAGGTTTATGGTAACTAAAATAAGAAACATCAGTTTGAGAGTTGATATCCTCTAAATATCTGGAAAATACCGCGTCAATGGTGGTCCCATATTTTGTTGTGAATTCTTGTGGATCATTATTCATTTTCAAATTCAATTTTTCGGAAATCGTGTCTAATAGAGAAAGAATCAGTTATGAGCAGTTAGCAGCTAATCTACACGCATACGTCTAATCGCACGCACACAAACACCGTGTTGAAGTCTGCCGAACTGAAACGACGTTAGACGATGCACGGCTTTTAACGCCGCACCGGTGTGCCGGTCGGAGTGGGGGGTGTTAGGTTTATTTTCGTTACGGAATTTTTTTTTCGATTTTTCGATTTTTTTAATTTTTGATTTTTTGATTTTTCGATTTTTCGATTTTTAGATTTTTCGATTTCTGGATTTTTCGATTTTTCGATTTTTCGATTTTTCGAATCTTCGATTTTTCGATTTTTCGATTTTTCGATTTTTCGATTTTTCGATTTTTCGATTTTTCGATTTTTCGATTTTTCGATTTTTCGATTTTTCGATTTTTCGATTTTTCGATTTTTCGATTTTTCGATTTTTCGATTTTTCGATTTTTCGATTTTTCGATTTTTCGATTTTTCGATTTTTCGAATTTTAGATTTTTCGATTTTTTGATTTTTCGATTTTTCGATTTTTCGATTTTTCGATTTTTTGATTTTTTGATTTTTCGATTTTTCGATTTTTCGATTTTTCGATTTTTCGATTTTTCGATTTTTCGATTTTTCGATTTTTTGATTTTTTGATTTTTCGATTTTTCGATTTTTCGATTTTTCGATTTTTCGATTTTTTGATTTTTCGATTTTTCGATTTTTTGATTTTTCGATTTTTCGATTTTTCGATTTTTTGATTTTTCGATTTTTCGATATTTCGATTTTTCGATTTTTCGATTTTTCGATTTTTCGATTTTTCGATTTTTCGATTTTTCGATTTTTCGATTTTTCGATTTTTCGATTTTTCGATTTTTCGATTTTTCGATTTTTCGATTTTTCGATTTTTCGATTTTTCGATTTTTCGATTTTTCGATTTTTCGATTTTCCGATTTTTCGATTTTTCGATTCTTCGATTTTTCGATTTTTCGATTTTTCGATTTTTCGATTTTTCGATTTTTCGATTTTTCGATTTTTCGATTTTTCGATTTTTCGATTTTTCGATTTTTCGATTTTTCGATAGTTCGATTTTTCGATTTTTCGATTTTTCGAATTTTAGATTTTTCGATTTTTTGATTTTTCGATTTTTCGATTTTTTGATTTTTTGATTTTTTGATTTTTCAATTTTTCGATTTTTCGATTTTTCGATTTTTCGATTTTTCGATTTTTCGATTTTTCGATTTTTCGATTTTTCGATTTTTCGATTTTTCGATTTTTCGATTTTTCGATTTTTCGATTTTTCGATTTTTCGATTTTTCGATTTTTCGATTTTTCGATTTTTTGATTTTTCGATTTTTCGATTTTTCGATTTTTCGATTTTTCGATTTTTCGATTTTTCGATTTTTGGTTTTTAGATTTTTCGATTTTTCGATTTTTTGATTTTTCGATTTTTCGATTTTTCGATTTTTCGATTTTTCGATTTTTCGATTTTTCGATTTTTCGATTTTTCGATTTTTCGATTTTTCGATTTTTCGATTTTTCGATTTTTCGATTTTTCGATTTTTCGATTTTTCGATTTTTCGATTTTTCGATTTTTCGATTTTTCGATTTTTCGATTTTTCGATTTTTCGATTTTTCGATTTTTCGATTTTTCGATTTTTCGATTTTTCGATTTTTCGATTTTTCGATTTTTCGATTTTTCGATTTTTCGATTTTTCGATTTTTCGATTTTTCGATTTTTCGATTTTTCGATTTTTCGATTTTTCGATTTTTCGATTTTTCGATTTTTCGATTTTTCGATTTTTCGATTTTTCGATTTTTCGATTTTTCGGTAGAATCAGTTATGAGCAGTTAGCAGCTAGTCTACACACATACGTCTAGTCGCACGCACACAAACACCGTGCCGAAGTATGCCGAACTGAAACGACGTTAGACATTGCAGACAATGGTTTATTTTCGCGGAATTTCTTGATTCGATCGCCGCCTTAGATATTTAATATTATCGTCATCTAAGCCTTTAAAAATGGTAATTTATGACAACAAAAAATATGAACTGTAATTTAAAATTTTTAAAATGAGGTTCGAAATATGTATAAGGACAAGGACTCTAATATCAAAATTTCAGGTTTGCAATAAATCTTATTTTAGCATGGAATTTATTTGCCTCTAATTACGTTGTCACTATTAGTGGCTGACGTTATAGAAATTTGCAATAACTCTCCAATCTGTACCGTGATTCAGAGCACGACTTTATTATAACGATCTGAATCACAGTATATAATGGATTTAAATAATTGGCGTTGCTGTTAGAACAATCTGTATCACAAGTTACCGCAAAGTATTTGTTACATAATTTAAATTGCTGATGTTCTATCTTGAATTAGCCAACATGTATCAATTACAACTAAATTCAATTTACTGCAAGATTAAGAAAAATACCGTAAATTTCATAAAAAAAAATTGTGATTAAACAACTGTCTTTATTAAAAAAAATCATTAATGGGTTTTTGCATTGGGTTGATTTCTAAAAATATTTTCTACCAAGTTATGCTTCCGTTAGGCTGTTTTTTTCAATTCCTGATTAAATCCGTTTCCTTCCAGATGTGAGGCCATTTCGATTCCTTCTTCTGCTAATAGCTGTAGGTTAAACCCCTATTTGTTTTGAAGAGCGTCCTTTCCTTAAATTGCAAAGAAAACTTGCGAGTTGCGTTGATGTTGTAATTTTTTTTAATTCAACATTAGCCTTTATGATGCAATTCGTAAAATCTGCGGTGTTATTTTCTGATGCAATTTCTATTAGTTTGTGAAAGTTTTCTTTTAGACTTTCTACCGCAGAAGTGTGTTTTCTGTTAACTTCTGATTCCTTTTTCTTTGTTTCCAAAATAAAATCAACCTTGGTATCAACTCCCTTTTGAATATTTCGTTGTGGACTTTTATTAATAGGTATGTTGTCCGACCGGCTTTTAGAATCGTCTAAGTCCATATTTTCAAAAAAATATTCTGAGGCGTCATAACCGAGAGCTAACTTTGCCAACATTTTCTTATCGGATGGAGTAAGTATAGGTGCGTTCGGAAGAAGTACTCCAAAATTTTGTTGCACGGCACAAAGATGTTTGCAAAATTTACCGCCTATACCAAAAGGGCAGTCGCATATTCCTAAAGCGGCATCTATAGTATATAAAAACATTTCATCACTATTTGTTACGCAGTAAATACTTTCGGAAATTTTTTCACAAAAGCTTGTTTTTTGGCTTTTTCAGAAAATCGGCTACTAGCAAATAACAACAAGTGTCTTCGGTGATAAGATTTAAAGACGTTGAATATAAAATCTACTAAAGCACATAAGTTGAATGCCTTGCATCTTTGCAAAACAACGTCCTTAAATATTCGGATAGACGCCTCGACATAATTGTTGGTATTATTTCCACTTGTGATTAGTGAGGTTCGGTAAAACAAACACCATTCATCTCTCCGCTACCAGAGGTCGTCTATGTTTTTCTAGACGTGGAAATTCCATAATTTTTTTTATTATTTTTAAAGTCATCAAATAACTCCTCGGCCTCTTCGAAAGTGGTAGCAAACATTATAGAACGAAAATAAATCATCACCTCTCTTCTAATTTCTTTAGGGATTTGATTTTGGCTATCCCATAACCAACGCCAGATGGCTTGGGAAACGTGAAAAATACAAAGAAGAAGTTTTGGCTTTAACTGTTCTGATACAGAAAACACAGATACCAGCGCGTTTCTCTCAGCTGAACTGTCGTCAATCATAAATATACTAGGATAACCAGCATGACCAAGACCATCATTGCCTAACGTTTCTTTAAGTAAGTTGAAAGCTAGAGTATAATTTGCTTCTGTCTGAGAAGTATGTAATGGTATAGCACCAATTTTAGAAGCGCAAAACATAAACGTGACATATGTATTTGTTTGGTCACAGGAACCACTAGAGTCCACAAAAACTATTTATCTAGCAAAATCTTTGTTATGAGCACGCATCATTATTGGAGTAAGTATAATCACAACAAGAGGGTTTTCCTTTATGACTATATTAATCTGTTTTTCTTTCTTTTTTTTTTAAGGTGAAGGGGGGAGAAAAAGTCCTTTATATCTCACAAGGAAAGTCAATGTTTAATTATTCAACAAAACATTGAGTGCGACAGGTTTCGAAGTATCATCACTTCATCTTCAGGCTCGCCTAGTGGAAAGGAGAATATGTGGTGTTAGGTGTGTTGACTTTGAGCCCACAATATATAAAATAGTAAAAAATAGAAAAACTCACCATACTCTCCATCCATTAGGGAATACTACAGACAAGTTTCATCAAAACGTGGGGGATGAAATAAATTGTAAAACAAAACAATGTTACAAGTTATAAAAATTAAAAATATTTGTAAAACAAATATTAGTCGATATAAACAGTTAAAAATTTTAAAATATTCAAGACTATACAAAAACAAATCACATACATTAAACAGATTAAAAGATAAGGCCTATTTTAAGCAACATTGCTGTTTTTTATAAAAATCTAACATTTTTGAAAGGAGACCTGTCAAGTTAAGGCCTCTACAGGTGGTGGTAAGTACTAACGAAAAATTCTTGGACAAACTTATGACAGGGTATAGGTAATAAGATGTAAACTATGAGTGAAGAAATATTTATTATTTATTATATAAGATTTGGGCCATGAACCAATCACCAAGTGTATGTGATGTTGTAGGATAAAATAAGAAAGAAGAAGAAATGACTGGGTTAACTGTTGTGAAGCAACTGAAAAATAAAAGAAGAAGAAAATGACAGATGTGAAAACACACATCTTAACCTAGTCCTTAAACATGCACGTTGGTTTTTTGTGGGAAGAAATTACTTACTGAAACCACCAGTAAGAAATACATTTCTCTTACCTTTATTGGAAAAGCATCCTATAAAGTGGCAAGCTTACTTAAAGACCACTTTAAAGTATCTTTCAAAACCCCCTCCTCATTACATAAGTTATTTGTTCATAATAAAGATAAATTAGATCCCTTTGACTTGTCTGGAATTTATAAATTGACTTGTAAATCTTGCCATTCTTTCTATGTGGGACGCACATTTCGAAATTTTAAGATTCGTTTAAAAGAACATTTGCGTTGTCTTAACCAAAATACAACAGGATTTTAACATTTTGCCAACCACCTACTGGACTCAAATCACGACTTCGATTCAACTGAAGGTTTCGAAATCCTACATAGTTCCTACCATAGATTTACTCTTAATAGCTTCGAAAGACTCGAGATATTGAGAAATTTAAAATTAAATCCTGTTGGTTGCTTAAATGCCCAGATAATGTCAGAAACTCCTCCAGTTTTCTCAACACTAATCTAAATTTATCGTTCTAACTTCCTTTTTAACCTCCCCCTTTATTTCTATTCACATATTTCCTTGCAAGGGGTACATTTCAGTAAGTAATTTCTTCCCACAAAAAACCAACGTGCATGTTTAAGGACTAGGTTAAGATGTGTGTTTTCACATCTGTCATTTTCTTCTTCTTTTATTTTTCAGTTGCTTCACAACAGTTAACCCAGTCATTTCTTCTTCTTTCTTATTTTATCCTACAACATCACATACACTTGGTGATTGGTTCATGGCCCAAATCTTATATAATAAATAATAAATATTTCTTCACTCATAGTTTACATCTTATTACCTATACCCTGTCATAAGTTTATCCAAGAATTTTTCGTTAGTACTTACCACCACCTGTAGAGGCCTTAACTTGACAGGTCTCCTTTCAAAAATGTTAGATTTTTATAAAAAACAGCAATGTTGCTTAAAATAGGCCTTATCTTTTAATCTGTTTAATGTATGTTTATATCGACTAATATTTGTTTTACAAATATTTTTAATTTTTATAACTTGTAACATTGTTTTGTTTTACAATTTATTTCATCCCCCACGTTTTGATGAAACTTGTCTGTAGTATTCCCTAGTGGATGGAGAGTATGGTGAGTTTTTCTATTTTTTACTATTTTATATATTGTGGGCTCAAAGTCAACACTCCTTACACCACATATTCTCCTTCCCACTAGGCGAGCCTGAAGATGAAGTGATGATACTTCGAAACCGGTCGCACTCAATGTTTTGTTGAATAATTAAACATTGACTTTCCTTGTGAGATATAAAGGACTTTTTCTCCCCCCTTCACCTTAAAATTACCTCAACTCACACATGGCTACCCCCCTTGTCAATGTTTTTCTTTCTTGTAAAAATCAATCTTTTTTTTTTCAATACCTTTGTCATTTAATATTCATCTCGACCTCCAAAATTAGAGTTTCTGGAACAAAAACCCAATAAATAATATTTGCCTACTTTGAAAAGACGGCAAGTAACTTTAAGTATACGTGGTCATCTTCAATGCCTCAAACTCTATTATACATTCAACTTGATGAGTATACAACTTTTTTAAAGATATGTTCCTCACATATAATCTAACATTCTAGCATAGCTTACCTATATAATATAGTCCGGAATCAAATAGATTATACAGGGTGTTAAAAAAAAAGTGTCAAAAAATAAAACGGGGGGTAGTATGGGCCAAAATATGCAGAAAAGTCTTAATAAACATATGTCCGCAAATGAATGGTTTCAGAGATACGGAGTGTTTTGTGTTTTGTATCATTTTTTGATTATCTTTTTTCATTCTCAAAAACTTCTTCTCGGAGTCTACCGATGTTTTTTCATATTATTATTTTGTTGTGGGTGAATAATTTTATAAATTTTCGTTATGCCTGTTTACACTAATATTGAATTAGCTGATATGCATTTTATGTACGGTCGTGCAAATGGCAATGCATTGAAATGGAGGGAGGGCACTTTGAACATCTCATTTAACTCTATGTTGTTATTGATTGTTTATAAATATCATTGTTTTTTTATAATAATAAAAAATTGTTATAAACACAAAATGGTCCGTATCTCCGAAACCGTTAATTTGCGGTCATATATTTATTAAGACTTTTCTGCTTATTTTGGGTCATACTATTCACCATTTCATGTTGTGACACTTTTTTTTTTAACACCCTGTATACTCATTAAAGACCGACACAAAAACTCCGTAATAATGAAATATAATATTAAAAAGAAGAAGAAGATAGCTTACCTCCAAATTTTATATAGGTGTTTAACTTGACGTTCTGTAGGATTTTGCTGTGCATTAGCTAATACTAACGACAATTTAGTATTGTCTGTTTCGTGGCAATTTTCCAACAACATTTCGTGGTAATTCCTTGCTGTTGCATTTGTCATACTTTCATTAAAGTATCGAAAAAATGTTTCTCGCACCTCTGGTACCATTCTTAAATAGCTAAATGCTTGAGCTACGTACACTCGGTGGGAATGTTTAAATGTAATCGCAAATATACAAAAATATACACCTACGGTATTTTATAATCTAAAAATTGACAAAAGAAAACAAAATAGTAATTTTACCTACTAGCGTGCGGTAATGTGCACTTTTCCGCTCTCATTTGAGTGCAGAAAGTTATTCTTTCCGCACTCAAGAATTTTTTAAAATAATATGTTTTTAATGGGTAGTAGGTAAAATTATGTACCTAACACATGCGTAAAGTACCTTTACCGCGCCGTCGTGCAGTAAAGTATAGCTATTACTAGAAATCATTCGTATAGTAATACAGAAATAAATCCACTGACCTTAATACAACCGCAATATCCATCCTTCAAATATCTGTCGTTTTTATAGTATTTCTATTAACTAATTTAATCAAAAAGTCAATTGTAGCATTACAGTCCTTATCTCTAATTCGAGTGTCTTCCCTTTTTCTTCTTTTTACTTTGTTAAAACTGCTATGTTGACATTTGAAAACCTTCCGTCCTTCCGATATATGTATCTTTGGGCTGATGGATATGTTTAGCGCACAATCCAGTTGGTGTTTGTTTTATGACTGAAATCTGCCAACCAATTATTGCACCAAGCGCTGTTATCTTCATTATCTGCCTGTTTGAAACGAAGTACTGCAATAAAACCATTCTCGACTAGCTCTAAATATTCTATTAATAATGAATCACTACACATGTTAACCAATACCGCCGTATAGTCCATTTTTATTGAGTTTAAATTAAATCACTTTTTCATTTGTATTGCACGTGTTTGTTTGTGTAACAAATAAAATAATCTCAAAATACATAA